TATAAAACAAATAGATTCCATGTTGCCGTGCGTCTGTTCAGTAATAGATCACAGAAGACGTCAAAATGTGGTAAGAACATCAGTGACACACTCGGCTAATCGCCTCGTGTGCCACTTTTTTGCTCTTACCACATTTTGACGTCATCTGTGATCTATTACTGAACAGACGCACGGCAACATGGAATCTATTTGTTAAATAGAACGTGAGTAGCGTAGCCAATCAGAGGACGGCATTCGTGATAGAACGCTAGTAGATTTATACTAAAACTCGATAGAAACACAGAACTAGCACTAGCTGTTGACGTAATGATGACGTGAGCAAAGAGAATTTACATTTTGATAATCAAAGTAAACAAGTTGTTTCCCTTTTTTCGTCGCGGTGCCTTATAAAAGAAATAGAAAACATGTTCTCCGTGTTTCTATCGAGTTATAGCAACACTCGTGAAAGTTTGGGAGAACTCGAAAAAGCTGTGGAAACACTCGCCCACGGTTCGTGTTCTCACAGCATTTCTCGTTCTCCCAAACTTCCACTCGTGTCTCTATAACTCGATAGAAACACGGTACATGTTTTCTATTTCTTAATTATTATTTGATATCGAGGGGTTCTCCCTTAGTCTCTGACGCGACCTTTGACGTAAAAATTATCTAGCAGTAGCTCCATGTAGTCTCTAATTGTTTTTCACAATTTGAAAAAAAAAATAATTCTGAGTCTATTGCCTTACATGTGAACTTGACATTCTTGGGAATTCAAGGAGTTAATGACTGTCTGGAATAATAGCACCACCTTATTTTTTCATGCGAATGTAGTAAGCATGGTACACTTGCTATAGCTTACGGCCTCTAAACATGTGTCACTTTGTGAAAGTAATTGTTTTGTTGTTAATTTTCCGCCTCAACGCTTTTTCACCTCGTATAAGAAGAGTTCGGGACTTCTAAAATTCAAAACTTAGAATCATATTTACCATTCAGCCAAGCTAATGGGAATTCTCGGACAAGTTGGTAAGGAGGTTTGTTCCGCTCACCACGACCGACACGCTTAGCCATGTCCTCCATTATCAAACGACGCCGCGATAATTCCAAAACGCTTATTAATAACAAGTTTGTAACAGATTGTTCTGCTTCAGTCTCCTAATCTAAACCTTTAACCCAGCTGCTCAAATACTAATGGCTTTTATTGTTCACGCCCAGCTGTCTTTTTCCATGTTTTTAAATATATTTTCGATCATCAAGGTAGATCAGTCTGGAAGAAAGCAACAAGGATCTGTTATGCATGAAGACCTCTCTTGCTGTCTCCAACACCCGTTTTGTTTCGTTCTGGCTTTTAATTTCCTTTTCTGAAAGTCAAATTGAAAGCCAAGCCCCAGTTGGGGAAGGCGCGTGATCGAAGGTACAGTGGTAGTACATGCAAATTTGCTCTACAGCTGTAAATACAATTCTTGCAATTTACTTAAGGAAACAAGTCTTAAATCGTAAAGGCTTAGTTCTTAAGACCATAACAGGTCACTTATGTGAGCTGCTTCGTTAAAGAAGTTAAATATATCACTGAGAACGATTATAGAAATAAAAACGTTGTAGATAAAAGAGCAAAATCTTTTCAAAATCTTTTCATTATGACAATTGTAAACAATGCTTCTTCATTAAACAGTTATTTTATGAAAAAGCATTGTTTGTAAATATCGTAATGTGAAACAAATACAAAATACTAAAAATCAGCTTCATTGCGCTAAAACGACGATAAATCAGCAAGACGAAAAGTGTAACTGTTGCGGAAACAAGCCGAACAGTGAAAAGAACATTTAACTGTAAATCTGAAGCTTTTCTGTGTGAGAAATGACATATCGCAGCAGACGAGGGTCCGTATTTCCAAACCCCTGAAGGGTAAATAAAGCTTAGCTTACGGAAAAGAAAAACCTAGAAAATAAGCACAATCATATTTCTTTACAGCTGCTATTTTCATATCATTTTAGATTTCCAGAAAAAAAATTTCAGATCTGAGAGTCCTTAATTACCAATATCACGACCACAAGAGGCACATCAGTGTCGGAAATAACAATTTTATTGCGTGCCTAACAGGTGGATATTTATCAGTTCCAAAGACTGATTTGCAATCTACAATGAGAGCACCTGCCAGTGGCGCAATTCTTTTATCAAAGTGTAATCTTAACGCTTTAGCGCTTCATGAGTAAAATAAGTTATTTTCTCGTTATCAAATACCATCGAACACGGGGCAGTGGATGCAGATACGAACATTCACTCCTACGCGAGACTTGGGCACGTGAATTTGCAACTAAACACCCACACGAAATTAAGAACACATTTGATCAGGCAATCCTTTTATCACTGAATGACAACATTTGCGGTGGATGCCAAAGACTTTGCAGCTGTTCGATCCCATAAAATATCAATGTTTTGCATCCCAAGGTTAAATGAAGACACCTTTTAAAATTAAACAAATTATTGTGGGCGCTCTGATTGGTTCAAAATATTTTTATGACATTTAGGAGCTGTTTAAAAGTACATTTCGTGTGTTTATCTTGTTAATGAAATATAAACCTTTCTTTTCTTATTTACACAGTGAAGAACTCGTTAAAGCTTGGGAAATTTGGCAGCAGCTGTAGAAACAGACTCTTATCTCTTGCTTTGCTACAGCTTTCCTCGTTCTCAAAGGCAAAATGTTTTTTCATTTCAGTAAATGGAACACCACCAGTTTTCCCTCACACTTTGCTTGTATTTAAGAAATTTAAAACATTTTCTTCGTTTCTATCAAGTTGTAGAAACACGGAAAAAATGTAATCTGTTTTTTTTTTGTTTTTTTTTTCAAAAAAAGGGAAAATTCCTTATTTATTTCGAATATCAAATGTTAATTTATTTTTGTTCGCGCTATCACTTACGTCACTGCTAGTACCAGAAGTGCTACTTTTAGCGTGCACCTTCTTAGAGGGGTTTTTCGAACTCGAGTTCCTAAGAAGTGACACCCTCGCCAGATATGCCCGAAATTTTTTTCTTTTCTTTTCTTTCTTATTTCTTTTTTTTTTTATGTCCAATGTGAGAGGTAAAAATCCTCAAGAAACAAAAAAAGTGTCCGATTTGCCAAATAACTGCAAAGGAACTAGTTGAACACAGCTAAGGTTACTTGAGAGAAGACGTCGTTTTGAATTACATGCCGTTTAGTCGTCATGGTAAATTTTTGAACTTTATCGTTAAACGTGTTTCATGCGCGTTCACTGAAGCTTTCGACAACTCGATTGAAGCATTGTATCAGATTGGATTGCAGAGCTGGAAGAATTACATTATAATCTCCAGGGTCCCTAGCCGGAAAAAAATATGACTGAGGCAATGTCCATGAAAAAAATTATGACTGAGGAAACTTTCACGGTTAAATTCTCTTCCTAGGTATTTAGGGTGTTTACGATCACTATAAACAACAACAAAAAAACGAAAAACAAATGACCGAGGCGTGTGCCTCGGTTTTCCAATTACTACTTGAGCTACTTGATCTCCACATCTCCCTCGTTCTAAATAGACGCCATTTTGGTTTTTATTTTCAGTTCGTAACGCTGTACTGTTCACTTCGGCTCGCCTTGCAAAACAAGAACCAGAACCCGCTTAGAAGAACTATTGACTCTAAAATCAAATCCGGTTGGGTAGACAGACCCCTTAGGTTATTTCGTTGATACACCTGTGTTGGGGGGTTAAAAACGTTATAAAGGTGTAATCTATTGCTGAAGGCCACAGGCTTTCTTGGGGAGTCCAAGGCTATCTCAGCTTATTTTGGTGGAGAAGGCGGAAGCTGTGCCTTTTTAGCGAGAGGGGAGGGGTTTTATCTCTTAATTGGGACGTGGGTGTCCAAACAATACGAAAACACGTTCCCAAAAGGAAACTCATGATTGTCACCCAGAAATATCACGGATAAGCCAGGTCAGTCTCTTAATTCAACTTTCTGAATCACACTGAAAGACAATTTAACTTTCACAAGTTGTAACTGTGTACAGTGTTGTGTTTTCCGCGCTAATTGTCAAAAGGTTAAGAGCTGAATTTTTCCTTTATTTCTCTCTTCTGTCTTGCAAATAAACGCAACAAGGCTGGAGCCTCACTAGAAAACCTGACAGTTCATTCGGTCTCCAGTATCATCGAAAATAACCGAGTTCTACAATAGCTTAATTATAAACTACTTGTTCCAAACCTAAATAAACTTTTCTTGTATTTGATATAGCATTATGAGAAATAAAGGAATGAATCATTCTATTTAATTGATACGAGTGTTTTGCTGGAAAGCACACTGGTTATATTCAAACGAAATTAGATCCGGGATTCTAGAGGCGAACTTTCAATAACCTCCCTAGTATGGATGTTGTGACGTCATCCCATGCCTTTTCACGGTGGTTGTGCAATGAGCCAGCAAAAAAGGGAAAGGTATCCTTATAATAAAAGGAAAATTTCATTGGGGCCTTCCAAAAAATTTTATTTGCTCGTGTTAAAAACAATATTTTTGAACGAGCGCAGTGAGTCCCGGGCTCTCTAGGAGAATTTAGGGACTGGATTAAGTGTTTTCCTCCTAAAGGAGTTCCGCTTAAGGGCAATTTGTCACCTATTAGTAATAACTAACAATCATAATATGTAAAAATTTAAAAAAAAAAATTCAAGATTAGCGCACGATAGCGTCATCTATATCAATACTCAGTCCTCCTATTGACAATGTAACATAGCCAATGAGAGCACCAGAACCTCAGCAGTTATTGTAAAATGATTTCTCGCCCATGCGCAGCCATTTTTTCGCTCACCCCATTCTTTCACCTCACGCTCGACGGACGAAAAAAAAAAAACAGAGGAATGCAAAGCCTGTTAATACGAAATAATCATCTCAATTAACAAGACACCTGCCATGAGACAAAATGCTCGGGATTGATATTTCGAAGATATCAACTGAGGAGGATGGATTATTATATAGCAAGGTAAGCCGAGCGTTCTCTTTTCTTTCTTGATAAGAATTTTGCCACACGAACCGTTTCCATGGCCGGAAACGGTCATACTTTGTGTGTTTTTTGTTTTGTGACATATAATATACTACTTACCAAACTTACTTGCTCGAGCCGTACAGAAGAATATTGGCCTTTGGTCGCCTCGCTGCGCTCAGTCCGTACTATCACGACGTCGGGCCATTATTCCCCAGAACGGCTCTCGTGCTCGGTTAGTATTAAAGAGATTAGTAATCTACTTGAACAATTCCATTTAGTTTGGACTTCTAGCTCACCTCTTGAGAAGCCTTCGTCAGCTTCTTTTCTTGTCATTAAACTGTCTTGATATCCGTGCCTCTGTGAAGCAAGCTGATAGGGATATGCATTACTTCCATTCCACCCTCCAGCATCCCTCATGCTGTGAAATTCGCCTGTAATATTAAAGCAGAAATGTTACCTACAATGACTGCAGCTCTGCGAAACACATTTGTAATCGTTAGTTTTCATTTTGCTGATATGAAACTACTGAAGTTTACAATAACTGTTAAATTTCTCGCTCACTCATTGGTCCCTCTAAAGTTAACGTCCCCGATTTCCTGCCTTTCTAACACAGGAAGGAAACGACAGCCACTCTTGAACCTAAGGTCCTTTTTCAGTATCACGGTGACTGAAATGACCTGGAAGGAACAGGGCGTGCGATACACTATTTCTACCCGTTCATTAAATAAATATTTTGCATTTACTTCCTCTGAAAAAAGATTCACGAAAGACAGATTGAACATGGCCGAGTGGTTAGGGCGCCCGACTTGAAATCCGGAGGTCGCGGTTACAAGTCCTGCTCTGACCACTAAGCTAGAGTTGTTTCTCAATAGACCCTGGTTCAACTCCTCGGTATTGCTCGTAAATAGCCAACTGGTCTGCCTTCCGCCAGATGGGATTTTTTTAGCTTTTTTATGTTTAGTTGACATAATTGTTTCTTTCAGTTTAAGTGGCATGCCTAAGGACTACCTAGGTTAAGCTAAGCGCATTGACCACTATAAACGGCATTTGAACATTTTTTGAGGAGCAAAGGCATGGGGAATAAAGGAGAACTAAACGCGCAAAGAAACCATTGCTATTAAACGACATGTTGTCCAAACATACATTAATGCGTTAATTCGAATTTCTCCGTGGTTCACTTCAGTTCAAAGTACAAGACAAACCGTGATTAAAGTCTTGGGAAAATTATCTACTTTTCTCCTCCCCTCCCCTGTTTTCTAAAATCGTAGCAGCAAAGACTCCGTAAGACCATATTGTTCAGTAGAACTTCGACATTGGTCTGTCGGGAGGGCAAGAAACAATTAAAAAACCACACGCGTGGCGTTAGTTCACTTCAAATTAAGATATATTTATCTCACTTTATCTCATATCGAGATTTTAACAACCTTCTCAACTACTTTTGTCATCGGTTGCAACTACCATCTATTATTCTTATTTCTGTTGCAGCGTTGATCAATTATTGCATGATTTTTAGCTCGTGAAAAGCTTTTCATCATAGAACACTCGAATACTATATAGCCTACGGGCTTTGTTCGGACTAGGAGACTGTGGAAAATGCTAACTAAAGAAAAAGACATCTATTCTTAAGCAATTTGACTTGTAAATGAAACGTCATTGTCTATCTTATCATACACTGAACACGTGCCGAGCGTTCTCGATTCAAGGACGTTGACCAACAAAGAACTGAATAAAACGGATTTTCCATTTTACCATCAAAACAGAAAATCCTGACTATATCCGAGATGTAGCCATTAAAGTGCTCGAGATTGGTTTTGATTTATTTAGCTCAATTATTCTAGAAGGGTTATAAGTGTGTTTTCAGCAGTCTAGTCCAGAGTCTAAAGGTGACAGACTAACGAGATGAGTAAAAAACGCACTACCATTTCCGTTTCTTTGTAACGTCTCATATTTGTGACTATTTTTCTGAATTTCTACCTTAACTCCGACAAATAATTTTTTAAATGCTTTCAGGCTATCAGTTAAAATGTTATTTTACATTTCGTGACTATCCGTGCTGCGTGGGCTAATTAATATGTTAATATGCAATTTTCTGCTTGACGCTAAATTATTTTCAAGAGCCACAACTTGTTGAACATGTAAATATTGATCTTGGCTCCGCTGCACTTATCACATGGCTCTTTACGAAATTTTAATCTCTAATGTTTAACACAATGCTCTAAACAACCTGCAGTGTAAGGTTACCAAAGAATCTAAATCCGGGGGAAGTACCTTCTTAGACAAGTTAAGAGAAAGCATTTAAAACAGGGTGTTAATCTTCAAAAACTAAAGAAATTCAAATTTGTTAGCCTGCGGAGAAAGACTAATCCAAGTTAAGGGACATAAAAAGGCACAGAAATTTTTAAGGGTGTAATGAAAACCCACGTATTTTGTCTCGAGAAGCGCGAAGCAATATTTATTACTTCCCTCACCCCCCCCCCCCGACTAACTAGATTACGATGTATAATAAAAAGTTTATTGTTATTATTTCTTTTTCTTTGTCCACATTTTTATGATAATTCCCACAATAAACTGAAAAGAATTCTGACCTGAAATGTCGTTCACGTACCCCTGATCCACTCTGTTTTAAACAAAGCCACAAGTTTTTTTTTTTTTCCTGAAAATAGATTATACGTGCAATTCGCGAAACATTATGGTAAAATTAAAAAAATCCAATTATCACAAATGTGCTTTAAATTGATTTAGCGACGGCTAGCGTAATGTAAAATCGATTTTTTTTTTTTTAACTACCAAGTCGTGAGGTAACTTATCAGTAAAATCTGAGAACTATTCACGGACAGTCAAATACGGTAAATTTGAATTCGCCACACCTGACTCACTTTTACCTTTCATTATGACAGCTGAAGCTCAAACCCTGTCAGACAGTTAAAACAAGCCAAGCGGTCAAATAAAAGAACTCAATGACGAGTTCCCACAATTGTTTGTTTATCACTGACTCATTTTGCTTTCCTAGACAGGCAAATACACCACTGGGAGGAACCATAAAGAATACTGAAACTGATTATTAACGTCGATATTTACAAAGACATAGTTCGAAAGATTTAGTTCGAACTTAGTTGGAGTAATACAGGTGCGCGGTTTTATCTCCTACCCGAGCGCCTCCGTCTACCCCTACACTGCGCACTACACTTCCCAGCCAAAAGGATGCCTACGTAGTAACCAAGTAGACTCTCAGCTGGATTTCCAAACACAGCGAGCGACGTTACCGATAAAAATTATGGCGCTTTCCAACGCGACCTTGCACGCGGATTCACTCCTTTACTCATGGACTTGGGCTCAACTCAGGAAGCCGCGTGTCTGGAAATATCACGGCATTTGTTACCCACTTACCAGAGTGTGAAGCTTCCAAATTCACAATCAGCCTTGACTTATCCTTTTATCGAACGCTTAGAGAATTTAGTTGATCTATACAACTCAAATGCACAGCGCTTTTATCTTTCCTAACTGATAATGACGACGCTTACGTTATGGTTATCGATGACAATATAAATCGGAAATAACGTCGCCACCCGTTGACATTTGGCCGCCGGCGGTCAAGCAAACTTATCACATAAGCTGCCACGTAGGTATAACGATCAGATAATTCCATAAACATGAGCTTTTAATGTATCGCCTTTCTAGACAATGGAATAACTCGGCGTAGTAAAGAGTCAGGGTCCATAAAAATGATGTCAAATGCGGCGCGGGCTATCCTGGGGGTACTTTTTTATATTTCGTGATTCGAAAGACCGACCATATTGAATTTTAATTTCGTTGAGTCAGCAAAACATCATAACGCTATTTATTTGTTACGTCAAACAGGTTTTTTACTGATCCGAAAACAAGCGGCATTCGGGCAAGACTATGTCGGGTAGATCTGGAGAGGCGTCGCAGCGCTCGGTTGTGAAATACATTGTAATGCCCTAAGCTTACAAATCGTTAGTCTTGGTTGTTACAACTTGTTTCGTCTCTCGAGAAATTTGTTCCCCGGAAATAACCTTCATTGGAGGCTGCTTTGGTACACTGTACTCGGATATTTTTATTTCCCGCGCTTTTCCTTCCCATCAGGAAGTTTTCGCGGCCGAAAAAATTATCGCTTTTCGCTCGACTCATGCTTGCAAGGAACTGACTCATGCAAAGAGCTTTTCTTTTGGCGTACAAACACAGAATACCCTACCTTATGATCCATCAAATATTTTCGCGAGCGTTTGGGCTAAACGCGTTTCGTGACTGAATATGCCCAAGCTAAAACTGGGGAATATCCGTGAGAAATGGCCCAATTTTAAAAACTGTGCTTGTTGTGAAAAATACTCCAAGGCCGCGATAATGTTTGTCCGCGGACATTATCGCGTCAAATGCAGGCTTTCGTTGATTTAATCACCAAACTGCAGTAACCAATTACTTTATGTGATCATTTGACTTTTAAAATGACAGTACATAAGGAAAGAAATTTATCTATTTAACAATTAGATTGTGAGTTCGAGATTTTTATCTATCACGAAATCGAGAGCGAATATTCTAATTGTTTTCGTATAAATCTACTAGTCGTCCAAACCTTTAACTAAATCCTCTTTACAGAAACCTCGAAAACGCATACTCACTATCTTCAACAGAAAAGATGGTGAGTGGCGTAGCCAATCATAGAACGGCATTCGTGATAGAACGCATTGAACCGGTCCAGTTAATTCAGTCACTCCCAGAGACTGCACTTGATGGGGGAAACGCCAATTCAAAAATAGATACAGGGCAAGAGGGAAAATTTAGAGCGAGACTGGGCAAAGACGGTCTCGCATCATCGTGACACAGTTGCGGCTTGGACTTGAATATTTCAATATCATGACTATTTTTATAGACCGCTTAATTTAGTGAATTTGGTAATTTTATGAAGTAATAACTAATTCAAGTACTCGCAACATTTACCGGTCTCATAGAGTTACATTTTAGCCGTGGATTTGACTACGTAAAAAATTACGTAAGCTACGTAATTTGGGAAAAACAGTGCTAAATGTCCGATACCAAATACTAAACGTACAGCATGGATATAATATATTCTCCTTCTCATAAAGAAGGAAGTATCTAGTTAAAAAAAGAAACAAAACTAAATATAGATGTGTTCGAATGCCTGAGTGAAACTTATGCGGCTTCGATTCGTTTGATTACCAAATTCCCCACAAAAAGAGCAATCAGCCGACTACAAGATGGGAAAAACCGTGATGAATTTCTTCATTCGATTGCTGAAATAATTTACAAAGCGGAACGCATATCATCGGCCTCGAACAAATAAACATTAAAGCAGAGCATAGTTCCGTTCATGCTTATCCTCGATTCTTCCCAATCTTTTGAGTGTCAGGCTAGTTAGCATTCACGCCGTGTAAATAGCAAGGATGTAATCACC